AAATGGTAGGTACATGAAAAACAAATAACATTACTGAAAAATAATATAAAGTTATAATTTCTTCTACGCATGGTCAATATTACATATATCCTTTTAATAATAATAAATTATACAGCAGAAATAAGGATACAAAATGATATCTTGACAAAGTAAATATCTGTAGGTATACCTAAACTCTTTTATTTAAGCATGCCTATACACATAAACAAATATAAACATTTGTACAAAATATAAAATAAATGACATCTATTTCACTTGATTCATCTATATTTCAAATAGTTCTCACTGACTAAGTAGTTGCTCTTCAAATTATATCGAAACGTATAGTTGTTGGTCCATTTTCTTAGTTCTTGTCTTTAGGTAGATGTGATGCAAAATTGGAAATCTCTTTACACATATCGTTTTAAACATTTTGCATAACAATTCATTATTTTATATGCACCTTTACAATAACCACAACTGCATACACTACAAATTATCACATAAAATAGAGTCAAAGTAAAGATGAAGAACAACCAAACCAAGCAAACTGGCAATTCGAAAACCTAACCTAACATAATACGAATTGAAACGACACACGAGAAACAAATAAACTCGGGCTGTTACGCGCAGTCTACGCAAGTCACGAACATACATTTTTCTAGACTTGTGTTATAATATGCTACCACATTTTTTTTTCTAATTATGTCTTTGTATAACAAAGGCAAATGAACTAACGCTTGAGAGGGATTGGGGATTGAGAGCAAAATTTAACTAATGCCGAATATTCCATAAGATAAGCAAAAATAGCAAAGGGTTGTTCGTCTGTTATGTTTCCGAGATCGAAAGGGAATGTTTCGAGTAATGTTTCAAACTCTCTTCAATTGTAACGTTTCGGCTATGTTTCACTAAATAAGTTTTCAAGTGCTACATTTCTGTAATGAAACAGAAACGTTTCTAGTTAATGTTTCAAATGTTTAGTAAAACATCTCATTTGCAACGTTTCATTTACGTTTCGTGTTTAGTGGGATGTGAATCAAGTTTTATGCCATCATAGCGGCAATACAGTGTTTTAAGCCATCATAGTGGCAGTACAGTAAACGAAGCTGTACATATGGTTTTAGACACATACCACCTAGACTGGCCGTATCTAATTCCAATGCACGGGTACCAGTGAATGCAAAATCCGGGGAAGTGGAGTGTGGAAGGCAATCTGATCGCGCGCATCTTTAAGCAGATCCGGATTAAGTAATATTTTTATTACATATTAAACATTATATTGCATCTTATGACAAATATTCAATTTTAAGTTTGTAATTCAGAAAATAGTATATTTTAGTGTCATATTAAATAAAACTACAAAATAATTTAAATATATTTATTGTCCTCTAAATAATTATTAATTTATTTAATATTTGCCTTTTCGTAGATTTTACCGAATTAAATAATTTGACTTCATGATTTATTCGTACATCGATATACTTTTCACATTCAGCCCTTACAAGTTCTATTAAATGATTACAATTGTTAGGCAAATTATCAAATTGATGTTAATGCAAATTTTCAAATATGTTCACATTCAGAAAGTTTTTTAATACATGATAAACAATTTTATTTTTCTGTAACCTAGGTGTTCTGCTTTCATCATTATTAAAAAAATTTATTAATTGTTCTGTTTCTTGGCATATTACTACGACATCTCGAGATGGATACCTCAAACAACAGCGATCTTTAATAAAAACTAATTGACTACGAATACTGTGACATTAAACTATTTACACAGTCTTTACATTTTATTGGCTTTATTAGAGAACTTGTTATTATTACAAAACCGCCAATATGTACTATATAATGTACTTGCTAATTATTTGTTTTGTCACAAAACTCTCCGATTTTTTCTAATCACATTTTGTCAACTCTCCGTTTCCAGGGTAGTGAACATGAATTTGAAATTAGTTTTGTTTGCGATTTTTTCAATTGAAAAAAATATTTTATTAATTTTCAGCTATCTCGAAATGACGGGAATTGGTAAAATTTCATAAAAACTTGAGACTAACATAAAGTAAATAATTACTAAAAATATTTTACAGTAATTCATTCATTATTTTATAATAACAATATCACGTTAATCACTATACACTATGTGGGCGAACAAAATTATAAAGCTAACCCTGGAAACTTATGACGTCAACTGAAAAATGGCGTACATATTTACATTTTATATATTCCTTTTTTTATTTACCTAAAGAAGGAAACTTTTCGCTTCTCTTCACCAACTCGATCACTTGTATATATACTATACAACGTTTTACAATACACTTGCCCATGATAAAACGTCTAATTATCGAAATCACAGCGATGCATACACGTCAAATGCTAGGACACGACTGAGCGCTGGGCACCAAATCAGGCTCCGAAGTGTTTTCACCAAAGTCGGTGTATAAGCCAGTCTAGGTGGTCTGTGGTTTTAGACAACCTCAAGGTCATCGCTTTGTTTATTCTTCGTGAACCTAACCTGCATTCTGCAAGTTTGTTTTTGTTTGTTTGTCACTATGACAAGTTTAATCGTAAACTTTTATTTAAAAAGCTATGAATCTAAGTGTTCCTCTGCAAGCTAATTCAGAAGTTAAGAAGAAACTATTTAAATTAAAACCTCTCAGGAGAGATGGGTAAGAGATGTAAACATGTCAACAGAATTTTTTTATTTTCCCTTCTTTCCAGATTAATGTTAAATATTCATTATTCAAAGTCAAATGCGAAAATAAGGTTTTTCCATTGCTGTTTTCATGAAAATGGCAATATTTTAGCATCAGCAGATAATGACGGAGATATTTATATCGTGGATTTCTTCTTTTGTAAATTTTGGAGCCTTCCAAAACTAGCTTCTTGTACATTCATCCAGTTTTCTTCATTTAATCAAAGCGATATACTTACTGGAAATCAGAATGGTGACATATATGTGATTGATTTCGATTCAGGGCAAGTTTCTGGAAAATTAGAAGGACACAAACTTCCTGTAAGCAGCATCTCTTTTGCACAGAAAATTTATTGTTTAACCGCTTCACAATATGAGGCTATAATTTGGGATTTGCAAACAAATACTAAACTGCAAGTGCTTTCATTGGACAAAAACTGCATCTTAAAATATGTAAGTTATAAGTATTTCAATACCTGATATTCAGTGATATAAGGAATAGTCATAAAATATTGCCAAGGTAGAACTGTCATACTATACAAGTAATCAAAAACGAAGTGCTTTAGGATACTGAGGATTTTACCAACATTATCATTTCAGATACATCCCGAGCATAATGACACTTGAATTTTTTAGGTGGGGTTTATTCCAATTTCAAATAATATTTTGGCATGTTTTAAGGACGACTTGATTCAGATTTGGAATCATGACAAATTTGAATCCATTAAACAATTTTTTCCAATTACTTGGAATAATTTTTCTGTGAAAACTGTAATATTTTCTAGGTAAGTTTTCTCCTGAATAAGCAGAGCAGTAAATAATTATGGAAATATTTAACCCTCTATTTTTCCCGCGATTTTTTAAAAAATTTGTGGAATTATTTTTAAATCCAACTTTTAGAAATGGGCAGGTGATGATAGTTGCGGGTTATTTACCAACTTTGGCAATATTTCTTCTGGATAAATGGAAGTTAGCAAAGCTCGTTACTTTACCGGAATATGTCCACACGATAAAATCTGTACAGTTTATTGCACAACCATTTGATGGTGGATGCAATAAAATCTTAGCTATACTCTCCGGTCAAGGAATAGTCTATTTTTATGACATCGAGCAAAACATAATTTTAAGTGAATTAACACCAAACTGTCAAATAAAAAAAATTGAATGTAGTCCAAACGGAACTTATATTGCTTGTGTAACGTGTGGTGGTGAGGTTGAATTGTATAATTTGAACCAGTATGTCATGCCACCGGCAGATGTGAAAGTCGAAAAAGCTAAAAAAGTCGGTGGTAAGATAAAACTAAAGGAATGTAAAGAGAAAGTTGAAGCTGTAAAAAATGAGGTAAGCATAAGATTTTAATAACTGTATATGCATACATTTTGGTTTCACTTCCTATGTTTCGTTTTCTTTGCTTTTACGTTGTAAAGTGCTACCCTGTCCGCAGTTGTGTTGTTCATGTAAGTTCGATATTGAACGTAGCACATGTATAGATAAAATTTAGTGTGTGCTGTACAGGTTGAGCCAAATTCGCCACTTTTGGTTTATATTTTTAAAATAATCGATATCTGCATAACAGATGGGACATGATATTTACACAAAAAAATTTTCTTGTGGTAGGTAAACTCCAAACATTTTTGACACACTTAATTTTGTCAATGAACAGTTAAATAACAAAAAACAATAATTTTGCTGATTATGCCTTGAAAGAAATTTTTCGTGTATAAGTATAATTATAACTTTTAATACATCATTTCAAAGGAAATTTTAGGTAGATTTTAGGTGATGTGTAAATGATCTATGAAATATCGATACACAAATGCTCACTAGCTAATATTCAGAGAATTCATGAATATTCTGTCAACACAAGTATAGTGGCAGTGTTAACTTATTTATTATTTGTTTCAGATAAATGATATGTTGGATACCGAAAAATTGAAAGCCATATTGAAAGAGTTTGGTGAATATCCTGAAGTTCACAGATTAAAAATATGGGAGAAACTTTTAAAGTTACCAAATAATGTACAACAATACAATAGTGTCATAAACCATACTACCATAGTAGCATTTAAGGATTTGTATGCTAGGTATCCCTTAGAAAACCAAACGTCCATAAAATGCCTGAAAAAGCTACTGAACAATATTGTGACTTGGTGTCCCTTCTTTGCCAATGTGGAATATCTTCCAGTATTTGCTTTTCCTTTTGCAAAGGTCTTTCAGAATAAACCCGTTGCTTGTTTCGAAGCTCTTTGTACAATAATATGTAAGTAACCAATTTTGTTTATCACCCAATGATTATTTTTTAACTGAATACTTATTATAATTAGTTTCTATATTTTTATTTCACTACAAAGGTGCTAAGCAAATTGAAATTGATAAAAAAAATATTCCTAATTTCTCATGAAACAGTTATATACAGGGTGGTCACTTTTAAGGTGTAAGGTACACCATTAGTATCTCCTGAGCTTTAAATTTACAGGGTTCGTTAAATTACTATAAGGTTGCATATTTTCATGCCATTTCGGGTTATAGAAAGAAAACTGAAAACTTGACTTTTCTTATTTCTTCCATATATTTTTTACTACTGTAAGTAGAGTATTAAGTATGTGTACTTAATAATATGTTCTATTTATTGGAAGGTTAAAACATATAAGATATTTTCATAAGAAACGGCTCGCAGAATACTTCCTTGCATCGAACACAGAGAGGAACAATTTAAACGATTTATGTAATTTGTATTTATTTGTTTCTTGCTATTAATTATTAATTGTCAATTTTTCAGAATTGAATATTGTGCACTTGAGCATTTATTTACAGCAGTAAATGATAGTTTTTAAATAGAAATGTCATACTTTTCTTTTGTTTTTCGCGACTACTATGATTGAATTAAATAAATCATAAAATTGATGTTTTTTGTCTCTTCATAAAATCTTTTAACCTAAGTTTTGTACATCTCTGAACTCAAAATTTAATGCTTAATGTAATGTATGGCGTCTATAAGAAAATCAAAAGTTGTTTATTATAACGTAGAGATGTAGAAGGCCTGGAACATTTCTTACGTATACCTACATATTGATTTTCATTACTCTTTTAATAGGTAATTAAAAAGATGTAGAAGAAATAAGAAAAGCCGAGTTTTAAGTTTTTTGAGCTTGTTTCAGAAACTTACCTCCAATATCTTTTCATAATTCGAAATGCCATGAAAATATGCAACTTTGTCAATGGCGGCGCGTGGGTTTGACTACAGGGGAGCACATTTTGAAGAGAGGAGGTATATATGTGGAGTTGTGGGGAGGGGGGGCGAATTTTCAGGAATTTTAAGGTCATTATGGTTTTGCAAGTACCTACCCCAAACGGTATACTTACTGTCAGTGTGTACAGTAGATACAATGCGAAAAGTAAAATTCCAAATTCCAATGTGTGGGGGCTGAAGTGGGTAATCGATCAATCAACCCAGTTGGGAAATATGTAGATTTAAAGATGAAAGCTGCATACATACAAAACAAAAAAAATTATTTGTTTCGTCATTGTTAATGTTTTTAGCGAATTTGCGAAAAATACCAGTCTACTTTTGCACTTTTGCTGCACCTGAACTAAATTCAACACCGGCGTTGGACATCCGTTATTTTTCAAATCGACATTTTCCTCTAAACTTATAAATTATTAATAACAAGTTTTTTTATTTCATAAACCCTCATTTTAAACTTAAAAGTTATAAAATATAATTTCTTAAAAAGCGTCAAAGCAAAAACATAAAAACAAAGCACGTATAACCACACTTCAGTGAAACGGGTTACTGCCACATGGAGTCCAAAACAAGGCATGCGAGCCTATCGTTATCTATCTTCAGTATCTCCTCCCCATGCCAATTTGTCGCATCATATGTAGAAATATGCTTGCACGATGGACTCAGTGTATTATATGTTTTGTGGATTTCAGCGTCCGCGATGGATTGGGATTGCACGGTCAACGATAACTCTTTGGTGCGATTATAGATGGCATTCAGGTGAGCCACGTTCACGGAGTGCATGAACTTTATGCAACCAACCTAACATCTAAGGCATATTGAATGCATGCTATTTAGATTTTTTATTGATTTAAGTAAATAAATTATTTTAAGTTTACAGTTTGAAAATGTCTGGGGGGCGGGGGGTAGAGCTCCAGAGTCCTATTTCACGAGCCGCCACTGAACTTTTTATAATTTAACCAACCCTGCCAATCTTCTATTTCAGGAGATACTAATGGTGTTCTCCATTAAAAGTAACAAAAAGATATATTAAACACTATTTTTAAAATTTCGCAAAAAAATATTTACATTGGTAAATAGTAGTCCGTATGTAAATAATTTTCATAATCTTAAGCAGGTCAAGATATTTAAAAAAAATATACATATTAAAAATTTTTTTTTATAAATCAATGAAATGTGAAATCTAGGAGTTTTAAAAGATAGATTTTTAATAAAAGAAATTCCTAAAATGACACAAAAAATGCTTTTAAAAAAATTTGCAGCAGATCATGAATTCCTAACTGGATTATGGAGTTGCTAGATGCGGCGATATATCGCCATTGTGGCGACACAACATACTAGAATGACTCGCAGAAATTTCACATGGCAACTCGTGATTTTTAATATAATTGTAGCGACTACCTGTTTAACTTTTAATTGATTTTCTAAACAATGGTATTAATTATCACAGGCCGACAAAATTTCAAAAAAAAAAATTCCAGAGATC